AGTAAAATGAACAGTTGATTTTAACAAGAAAAATAAGGCTATACTTTTTCTCAATTAAATTGTTGGAAAAAATTAAGACTCACGTTTTCTGTAGAGGTAGGAGCCTGAGGCAAACTAGGGCTGAAGGCCATGAGATCAGCCTTGGGTGGCACCTCTCCAGAGCACACCCTCTGCCTTCTCTGCTGGGAGTAGGACCAGCTCCCCACAGCACTGGAACACACCAGCGTGGGCTTCACAGGACCACACGTGTCCTGGGTGGGCGACGCGGAGCACCGAAACGCCAAGTACAGCACCGCGGTGAGCACCAACAGGCTGGACACCATGCAGATGGCTATAATCAGGTACACATTGACATCCACCAGAGCAGCGTCCTGGCCAGCGGCACCTGCCAGCGCCCTGGAGGAGGCCTGGGGCGCCTGGCCGCTCTCCACAAGAGACACCAGCACTGTGGCGGTGGAGGTCAGGGCAGGTTCGCCATGGTCCATCACCAGCACTAGCAAGCTCTGGCGTGGCACATCCATCTCATCCAGGGAGCGTGTCGTACTGATCTCGCCAGTATAGAGCCCCACGCGAAACGGACTACGCGTGACACCGGACACCGGCAGAAGCTCATAAGACAGCCACGCATTGTAGCCAGAGTCTGCGTCCACCGCCCGCACCTTCGCCACCACGTGGCCCGCACCAACTGACCGCGACACCAGCTCGCTCACAGTGCCGCCTGCTCCTTGTTGCCAAGGTCCCAGCAGTGCTGGCGCATTGTCGTTTTCATCCAGCACGAACACTTGCAGAGTCACATTGCTGCCCAGGGGCGGTACGCCAGCGTCGCGCGCGCTCACCTGGAACTGCAGCAGCTCCAGCTCTTCGTGGTCCAGAGATTGCAGAGCATACACCTTGCCGCTTTCCGCGTGCACTGACACGTAGCTCGACAGCGCGCGCTCGCCCACACGACGCTCCACCAGAGAGTAGGACACCAGAGCGTTCTCCTGCGCGTCCGCGTCATGCGCAGACACTGTGAAGATGTGGCACCCTGGCGGGTTGTTCTCCTTCACGAACACCGTGTACTCAGACTGAGCGAACACTGGTGCATTGTCGTTCACGTCAGCCACCTCCACCAACAAGCTGGCAGTGGCCCACAGCGAAGGTGAACCTCTGTCCCTGGCGGTCACCACCACTTTATAGTCAGATACGGTCTCGCGGTCTAAGGCACTGTCCAACACCAACGAATAGTAATTCTTGAAAGTGGACACTAGCTTGAAGGGGACATGAGGCATCAGAGAGCAGGTCACTTGTCCATTGGTACCAGAATCTCGATCAAACACACTAATCAAGGTGATGACTGTGCCAGGCAGGGTATCCTCAGAGATGGGAAGAGACAGGGAAGTGACAGTCAACTCTGGAGCATTGTCATTAGTGTCCACCACTTCCACAAGAACTGTACAGTGACCAGCCAGTGGTAGGGAACCTTTATCAATTGCCTCTACTTGAATTTTGTAAGTTTTGCTTTCTTCAAAATCAATACATCCTATCACTGTGATTGCCCCACTCACAGCATCTATGTGGAACTTGGATTTTATATCTGGAGAAACATCACTGGAGAATGAGTAAGCAATATCCCCATTCACTCCTTCGTCTAAATCTGAGGCATTGGGGTTAATTACCAGCGTTCCTATAGGAACATTTTCTGGTAATCTCACTGTATAGAGTGTCCTGTCGAATACTGGGGCATTGTCATTGGCATCCAGCACTGTGATGAATAACTGAACGGTGCCAGTCAGCTCGGGTTTGCCTCCGTCAGTAGCAGTGAGCAATAGGTAAAGCTCTGGAGCTTCTTCCCGGTCCAAAGGTTTGAGTAACACAAGTCCAAGAGGTTTTACCTGCTCGTGGCTGGGTGGTACATCCAGTAAGAAATACTCATTGGGGCTCAGTCTGTAAGTCAGCAGAGCATTGGCT